TCCCCCAACCAGTTAAATGCGTTCTTTTCAAGAAAATACCCTAGAGGATACGCCAGAGTAGATTATCATCAGTACAGTACGACACATATTTTTTTTGATCCACGCAAAATTGACATCTCTATTTTTAACAGAAACCCCCTTTTTTTACTGATTTGGCCTGCTTATTCTACTTTGGTATTTTTTCAAATTTCGATCATTAAACTAAATCAAGTGTTTCTTAAAGTTTTTTGTTGGTTCTTTTGTGGTGCACTTGCCATTGCAACTTGGTCGCTCGATGGTAAAAGTAGCAAAATGGGTGATATCGTGGTACTTGGACGCGTGCTACACGTATTCAAGTTTCTTGAGCTCGGCAAGGTAGATCTCTGTTCGTGGTGCAGATCCGCAATTCAGTTTTTGTGCCGCGAAGACTCACTAGATTACCAAAGCAAGCGCTAGACTATTTCCTTCACTTTCTGCGCCAGCGAGCCAGAGTTGCGGAAGATTGGTAGCAGCTTAAGCTGCTTCACCCTACGAAAATATGGACGCACCGATTCCCAGTACTGCCGGTGCTAGCAGAGCAATAGCTAGTTTCAAAATGTTTCAATATATTTAAATTACGGCAAAATTTATTATAAGAATGGCTTATATTGGAGTATTTACAACGGCATTATGTGGCCCTGATCCACTTTAGCATTTTCCGACCTCTGGTGACAGTCCACGACCTCTAATACCATTGTGAGTGCTACTGTAAGTGGCCGTGGAGTGTTGAGATCCAATCGCCTGCCCTAAGCATCGAATGCTGGTGTGACAGAACATGACGGTGGTGAAACGACTAATACGGAATGTATTTAGCGATTATTGCTCGACAATTGTATTCGTAGCTAGACAACGACCAACGACCTCCTGCAACCATACTTCGTTGGCGAGTTATTTCGTCTGAACTCGGACATTCTTGGCTTTCGCTAACATGTCATCGTAGAATTTGATATACCGCGAAAGCTGCGCTTCGGTCTTGAACTGTCCAAGTTTCCTCAACGTTTGTGGGTCCCCCCTTTTGCTGTTATAAAGCCGCTTGAACCACTCTCTTTCCGGATTCTTTGGATCTCCTAGAACCTGAATTGATTTCATTTTCTCCGGAGCAACACTGAGTTTGTGTTTCGAGGTCGATTTTTTTAGAGCCGCAGCGAGCTTCTTCTGCTTCGGTTTCAAGAGATAAGCCATTGCTCTCAGTGCTGTGCGTTCTTCAGAAAACGCTGATGGCTTCAAGCTGTCCTCTCCCTCGTGGATGGATCGAAGAAATCTTCTATGGGCAGCACCAGCCGGTGTCGTGAATGCAGGGCCGGTTACCAGATTAACGGGTAGGTTAGATGCTGCAGTTGTCGGGCTACTAGTAAGTACATGTACTGCGAGCACGGCAAACGCGTAGAACAGCTTGCTCATGGTCACGCTAGGTTGCTTGGTGATGGTCTTGCGTCCACGGTAAAAGTCGAAGTGGACAAGTGGCAGCGCAAAAGGGCGAATAAGGGACGAAGTGCCAGTGGCACGCCATCCATTCGCGCCTTAATAAGATGGACCTTTTATTATGTGAATACAGTTCTGCCCCCTGAATATGCACCTTCGAAACACGTTTTTAACCAATGTAATACAGTTATGTGCCTCAAAAGCGAACACTCGACATTTAATATGCTCAGGAAAGTGGTCAACTCGGATCTGTACTTATAAACGTATGAACCCATTGTATCCAATATACCTTTACCTTTTAGTGAATGTGCGGTGCTCGCTGTTGAGGCACATTACTGTACTGTATCCCTGTTCCTGTTGTGATACAATTGTACATGTATCTGTGCGAATCAATGGTTCCACCTTTCCGGATTATTAAATAGGCGGGGATTACTGTTAATTGATTACGAACGACCTGGTATTTTGTAATCATCACCAATCATCAAGGACCACCATGGGTACCACAGGTACATTGGAGATGGTACAGCTGTATTAATATTAATATTAATACAAAATACAGTAAAATGGAAAGAGCTTCTTCCCATTTATTAATAGCAGAAAGTACTAAGAACAGTAGATTTTAATACAGTCTACTGCTACACCCGTTTTTGGATATTTTTAACCCTCTCTCTCATTAAGCTTTGTAGCAATTTAACACAAGATCTGGGTCATATTTAAGGCCTGGCAGTATGCTTTGTAAAACAATATTGCAGTAAAATCAGCGATTGGGTAGATTTTTCGTGATTACCATGGGTGTTTTTTTTTTTTTGCCCCAAGAGCACCTCCTGTAGGTATTGTGGTAACAAGTCATTCAGAACACAAACCAAATCAAAAGTACTGTCTATGAACACCCCACTCACTTTATGTTGGCCAATAATATGCCATAAATTCTATCACAGACCACATTCTTCCACCTCAACCAGGGTCTAACCACGAAATGCTGTGGTTTAATTGAATAAACGAGTGCTAGGGGAGTTTGAAGTGAATGAATTGACAGGAAGTGCCACAGATGACATCTGCAAGTGCCAGGGCAAAAATGCAATTGCTATGCGCCACGCTAATATCTCCATTAAGGTATACTCTGCAGATATTTATAATGGCACAATGACAGGGCGATTCTATTCTTAACCACACCGTGCCACGACTTAATTTCTATGGTACGCGTGGCAGTGGTAATGAGCGACCCTCGTGGTCGTGAGCAAGAAGGGCTGGCGTACACGCTCAACCTTCCGGAAAAAAGGTTTTCTATGTGACCTTGCTCTAGCCACAACAGGCCACTGTTTAGGCTAAGTGCGGAGGCGTTTGCCCCGAGACTGAAGGGGCCGGGCCACATATATTGCGGAACAAAGTGCTCGGAATGCAGAAACAAATCAATGAATGTGCAGCTGAGTGACGATACGCTCCAGGTCTGCAAGTTATTGTAAAACGTGTGGGGGGACTCGAGCGAGTCTACCCACTGATGTATCGCGTCGACAGCGGCCTCTTAGCGGTGAACGGGAACATTCGCATCGTGGACTCATGTGTCGAGACAGTGTTCCAGCGCATGGCGATGCGTAGCGCGAGTAATTACCTAAGTCTAGGCGTCGCCAACGCTACTCATTAAGCTTCACTATTACCTGGAATGCGTTTTTGGTGCGGCATATCCGTTAGAGTCGTGCTCAGCACCTTGTGAGGTAGAGATGCTATCATCATTTACAGAACTTATTTGGGTTGAAGAAATTCTTCGTGAGGATTGCCCTGAAGTCTTTGTTGAGGTGGAACCAGCACGTATCGGTAAGCGTAGGGCTAAGCCAGGACCCTAGCCGAAACATAACGAATACAAGCGCGAACTGCTCTGACGTAGGAAGCTGAAAGAATCTAGCCTTTTCTTGCAGAAATTAAGCCACACTTGCATAACTTTCATCTAAAAATATGTCGGCTCACCCTGATTAAAAATGAGTCTGGATTGGTTTAATTTCACTTCATCTTTTCTAACTGTTTATTTGTAAAATAGAATGCACATTCACCGATTAGCATTTTTATATTAACGATGGATTTGTGGAGATGTATCTCCTTCTTCAGCGTTACGCTTTCACGTATCCTCAATCGGCTGCAGCTTGACAGCGTATCGGTCAAAAGAACTACTGGGTTAGAGTTTTTGTTATTTCTTAATATGAGCCTGCCGAAAAGGACAGAAACATTGTCCAATCTTCTGCTATAACATGTAATTTATAAAAGAAAATCGGAAAAGGAAAATGAGTGTTACCCGCTAATAAGAGGAAGAAACATGTCAGTAATATAAAGCGCAGGCTCGACGGCCGGATCCATAAGCTCGAATATTCGCTTAGGATACGGAACCATCCACGGACGCAGAGTGAAGATTTTCCACTGCTGCTCCACCCCATCCCCACGTCTCGCCAACTTTCTACCGGCTCACTATCAATCCCAACTTTACGAACCGCTCACCAAGCACCGAAGAAGACAGAAATTTGATCAATTTGATGCGCAGCGGCGGTGGCCTATTGCCAGTAACCGAGCAAGAAGAGGTAGAGAAGAACGATAGTTTGACGTCGAAAAGTGTACGCAAAACACTAGGTGAATGCTTTTAATTTGTTTCCTATCCAATCTGTTGACTGTCACGAACTCACCTGGAAACCTGCTCACAACCTCGCCTGGAAGCTGAAGGTGATTTTCAAAAAGGAGACTATCAACTTCGTCTGGCTGTATCAGTCTACCAGAGGACGAAACCGCCATACGCGAAAGAAGACAAATCCTAGTCGACGTAGCGCGCGGATTAACAGCCTTCAGCCGTAGATAGTGAATCTTAAGTTCGCAGCGCACTTAATATGTACTGCTAACAGTACTTAAATTTTATTTATTTTTACAGAACCTATGTACTGTATTATGGAAATTCTGCTGAGATTGCGACAATGTATTGTATGGATAGTTCTGCCGAGCTGAAGTTGTGAATGCGGGAAAGTGTCGCATCATTAAAAAAAATGGATGGGGTCTAGATTAATACAATACACTTCGCAATCACATTGTGATACAGTACTACACCCCGTTTTCGCGGGGTGGAACATATGGGATTTGCAAATAAATCAGATTTTAGCTGACAAACTAAAGTTCATTTGGAATCAGACTCCATTACATCCGAACGTTTATTAAATGTCTAAGGGCGCGAAAACGGGGTGCTGTACTGTACAGTTCATGTACCTGTGCAAATCATCCAACCTCGCAGGCCCCACCTTTCAGGATTAGACGGGGATTACTGTACAGGTACTAATCGATTACGAACTTCTGGTACAGTACTTTGTTATCATCACTGATCATCACGGTCCACCAGACAAAATTGCAAAAACACCGTTTGAAACGGTGTGCAGCACGCTCAAAAGCCCCATACATTTGGTGGCAGAACAAGGGGGCTCCCCGCGCGGGTTTGCGGGGAGCCCCCTTGTTCTGCCACCAAATGTATGCAGCATCCGCCAGCTCACCATTACCCATGAGTTGTTTAGCCAGATTTTTGGCATCTGCTTTATTCGTCAACGCAGCCACCTTAAACATCTCCTCACTAAAATTCGCCAAATTGAAATTGGGGCTCGCTCCTCAGATGTTTCTTTGTTCTCTCCGTTCTTGCGAAGAAGTCTTCTGCCGGCAGAATCGTGTATGTAGTGAGCTGGAGTCCCATACATTAGGACCTTGGTTTGGTCTATTGCACTGCAGGTTGCAAAAGAAATGGCGACAGCCGTAGCAGACAGAATAATTGCCAGACGCATGATGTGAATCCCTTAGGCCCTGGTCTAAGTTGAAATTCCGAAACTCGTTCCAAGAAATTCTGCTCGGTCATTGGCTGAAAATAGAAACAGATTTCGGAACGCGTTTTCAAATTATACCGTTCTGTATGGCGTTCTCAGAATACCTCCGCGACCTATTCCGAAGTGGGAACGAGTTTGGCGTCTCTGCCGATGTATACCCGTGCCGACTTTAGGAATAGCTCATTTTTCTGTTTGCCTCCGGTAGACCTCAGCACTAATCCCCTGTCAAGTCACGTCGCTTCGTAATGGGCACCAAAGCTAAACTCGCCGTTCTCTGCATGTTGCAGTGCGTTTGTACAGCCGTGTCCGCTCTGTGTAGCGATCGTCGTCGTCTCGGTGGAGAGACCCGTTCCAGTGTCAACACGTTTGCAGCTACAGCTTTTGATAGAGCAATGCAGACTAAGAAAACAAAATGGTTTCACTCGAAGATGCGTTGTGACAAGCGAACATTTCTTGCGGTTGTGGCTCTTGTCAGGATCAACTGGAGAGAGCGTATCCATCACAATGTCAAGTTTGACATCACCAAACGTGTTGCTGTGACGATCATTTATCTATCTACCGGTGGAACGATTGACAGTGCTGGTACTGTCATGGGGATGTCAAAAACCAGTGCTGTCGTATACATTTGCCAAGTGCTGTCGTATACATTTGCCAAGTGCTGTCGGTTTTGACGAAAATGGCAAAGGAAGAAATCACAATGCCCAACAAAATCAAGAAAGTTACCGATGGATTTGAGCGAATCGCAGGCTTTCCTGACGTCATTGGTGCAGTGGATGGCTGCTTGATGCGAATTAGCCGACCTGTGGAGCACGAAGGCTGGTATTGTAGAAAAAATTTCCTGCGGTGAATATGCAGACCGTAGTGGATCATGAGACTCGATTTCGTTCTTATTGTATTCGGGCTGGGTCTATCAACGATCAAGCTTTGTGGAATCAGTCGGGTCTGCGCAATAAAATTTCTGTGCCTAGTGGAATGCATCTTCTCGGCGATGCTGGATACAAGATATTTCGGCATCTTCTTACTCCTTTTGACGAAGAAGAGGCATCGTCCAGTGCCCTGAGCCGGCGCTACAGCTACAAGCTATCCCATACCCGAATTATGTCAAACGAGCATTTAGCATCATCAAGAATCGCTACCGCATACTTCTGGGCAAGATATCCCAAAAATCCCCAGCTCGTGTCACGAATGTTATTGTAAGCTGCTTAGTTTTACATAATTTGATGATTGGTCTTAAAGACAGCTACACGGTGGTAGGAGATGACCCCGATCGAGCTCCACCAAGTATGTTGTCCTCTCTTTCTGGAGAAGATGAAGTGAGCCATGAGCAGGGTCTAGCGAAACAGAAAAATATTATGGAGGATCTTGGTACTTTTTAGGAAGTATGCAATTTACAGTTACATTGCCAATGTCTATCCTCAATGACCCACTATCATTTAATGCAATGTAGAACGCTAGGCTGAAGCTAAAGCTATTCCTCGACTACAATTTAATTGGGTGGGGACATCTCGGAGACAAGATGTTCAAGCAGTGTCAACTGGCGCGCCTGTAAATCCGGGAGGCTTCTTGAGCGGCCCGGACATCACGGAGCACTTCAACGAGCTTATCGTCAGTCCCCATCGATGCGGCGATAGCTGTCATGCCGTCTTTCATGGCAGCAGCCAGACGTGCAATGGATGTAGCCGCTTTTTGGCGGCTGTCCGAGGATGAGAAAGACTTTTCTTTTTTCAACACAATCCGAATCGTTATCTGCGTCCGCCAGAGTTGCTCCACCAATTCCAGTACGACCAGCGAAAGCGCTGTTCAGAATACCCCAGATCTCACTCTCATCTTCATTTCCATTGTTGCCAGTGTCTGTTCTAGCCTCCTTTCCTTGTCTGTACTCGCACTTGAGTATTTTGTACTTGTTCGCAACCTAGAATTGCAAAAAATGTTAGGAACTGGAGAAAAAAAATAGTTTGTAAAGTACCTGATCACTTGAGAGCACCACCTCCAGTTTCTCCGATAATCGATTGGCAAAAAATTGCCATGCGAGAGCTTTTTTTCGGTTAGTATCGGCATTTTGGACACGAAGCCTAGCGTCATCGTCTTTGAAGCGCATGTCGAGGAGCTCTTCGATCATCTTATTCGTCCAGACGAAGCGCTTGGATGGCGTTGTTCCCTTTTTGGAGGAATTCTTCTTTTTTCCTTGTTGCCCAGCGCTGGATTTGGCGCCTGCTTTGCGTTTTCCGTTCACGGTAATATATACCGGAGTCGACGGGTTAGCTGTAGCTGTAGATACTGGAATTGTTTGAATCCATTCAGTAGAGTTCGGAGCGGAATCGGGTGTTGCAGACGGACGAGGTGGCTGGGCCAGTATGTAAAAGATGGCATCGCTGGATGTTACTCCCCGGCCAGATGCGATGGCAGCACCGGCAGCTGAACGATGCCGTCAAAGTACGGACGCTGGTAAATACTTGGTAGATCTGACCCATGAGCGTCCATTGTGTCCACTGGAGAAGGGTGATTGGAAAGAGAAAAGTGAATGCCTTCTTGTGCTGCACAACGATCTTCACCTTCCTCGGATTCTTACACGAAGCAAAACTCAGAGCGAGTTCTGACCTGGTTGTTGCATCAGAATGACTTCAGTATTGGTTTACTTGATGGTTTGGGAGATGTCTGGCCATTATGTCGTCGTCCAAGTGGTCACATGTTTCGTACCATATCCCAATTCCGACGCCCCCTGTTCAGAATTGTATTTCGGGTCTAAGGCTTGCTACCGAGTAGATTGTCTGTATCTTCAAGAGCCCCGCTCCCCTAAAATTTTGGATAGAGTAGGAACCAAGCTCGCATTTACAAATAGAGTTTGCTGATTGGCTACTTCAAGTGAGCCGATATTGGGCTCGGCTCATTCCGCGCGGGTCGAAGCTGTTCAGCCAATCACCACTACTGTTAGTCATGCTACAAGTGAACCACCTATCAGTTGTTGGGTCCGTTCTCGAACGGAAGTCTTCTTTCGCTGAATTAGTCATGGGATCACGCCTCACAGTTGTGACCCTCATCCTGCGGTACAAGCTTCCAACAAGCGCCCCGGGCGTCGTTGCGCAGATCTCCTTTATATAGATACATAAATGGCTCAAGCATGCACCTTCAAGGCCGTCGAAGTCCGAATATACTCTGCCAAGAGCGATCAGTGGACTGTTGCGAGACCTCTCCAATGCGAGCCTCGATATTCTCGATGACAGTTTAGTCTAGCTTTGCTACAAGCTGTACGTCGAGAAGATCACCCAGCGATAAAGTGGGTGGTGGCTCACTTTCCAGGACGCCTCCTGAGTTATCAAGTCTTGGAGGAAATTAAATTACGTGGTTGGCTTTGGTTGCTACCCCTTCTGGACACGAAATCGGTCGCTGGTCTCGTCCTTCCGAGTGACGGGTCTTGAACGAGACATTAAGACGTGGTCACTGGGATATGATCCATTGGTTATTTGCGATCTCAGCAATGCACAGAGCTGTTCCTCTAGTCTTGTGAAAAAACTGTTGAAACTAATAACCTGACAGAATTCGACCGGCTAATTGCCAGAGGCTACACGCTTTTTAGCAAGCTCCCAACCTGCAAAGAGGATGAATGGTCAGTTCGACAGGAGATATCCCGCTGCATATTGTCACAAACGAGCTGGAAGCGCGTTGTGTGAAGCAGCGCAACACAATGACGTTCAATTCGCAGAGTGGACGATAAATCCCTTCTTTATTAACCATTGCAGGCTTCTTTACAGTACACAGGCTGCTAGTGAGTATGGTGGTCTCGCTGCCTTGAAATGCCTACTGAAATACCTCTTAAGACTTGGCAAGTGCGATGATTAATCTCAAGTCCTGTTCATAGCGGCACTGAATGACAATCTAGAAGTAGTTAAATGGCTATTTCGTACGTACGCACACCCGTCATCTGTCGCTCTATTTCGAACCCAGTCGAACCAGTCTGCTGGTTTCTCGAATGCCATGGATGTAGCGGCAAGCCGAGGTCATCTTGACGTGCTCAAGTATCTGAACAAAGAATTGGTGCAACACCTACACCAGAACCGTCACTAAAGGCCAACTGTATGGCACCCTCCATGCACTCGTTGGGCAATGGATTCAGCGGCTCATGCGGGTCATTTAGCAGTAGTACAATGGCTACCTTTGAATCGGACTGAGAGTTGCACGACGTCTGGGATGGATAAAGCTGCCGCTTACGGGTATAAAGAAGTAGTGAAATGGCTACGTCCGCTTAGAGGGCTGCAGCTCCTGGGCGATAGATATGGTGGCTTTAAAAAGTAAACATGAGAAATGTGGGCATTCTGGGAGAGCTTAATGCTCACTAAAAACGACATCAAGTGTGTTCTACGCAAAGCAACTCGATATTCTTTAATGGATGCTTCGTGATAACGCAACAAGCTGTGTGAGTGCAGCAATGGATGGTGCGAGGAATCTGTTGATGCTAGAGTGGCTTCATGCCAATACAGAAGCAAGAAACACACAGAAGGCGATGGATAAAGCTGCGGAGAGGGGTGACCTCGACATCATCCAGGGCTGCTGGAACAGAAGAATCCCACCATTTCTACGAAAGGAACAGTGGACCTTGCAGCAGCGAACGGCCACGTAGAAGTGGGAGAATGGTTGATTGAGAATAGCCTAGTGTATTTTTCGACGGAAGCAATGGACAGAGCTGCAGCTAGCGGACACTTGGAAGTAGTCACGTGGTTGAGCCTGAATCGATCTGAAAGATGTACGAAAGCAGCGATGGATGGCGCTGCAGCTGGAGGTCACTTGGAGGAGGTGAAATGGTTCAGCGCTTACTGTGAAGCAGGTGGCAGCTTCGTTACAACCGAGAAGGTATCTATCAATGGCCATGTGGATGTTGTAAAGAGGTTTTAAAGAAACTAGCATACATTAATGTACATATATTGGCCCCATTATGTATAGGAGCTACTGTGATTTTGGACATGCATAATGTATGGCAAAACGTTTTACAAAAGCATTATTAATGCGTAAAAATAAGGATTGTAATTACCAAATCGGCACACTAATAGCTCTGGAGACTTGGTACCTGCTCTACCACCCAACTTGAAGACGTTGGCGTTGCAAAAGAATGGACTCAGCCAACTACCTAAAATCTTCGGGAGCGATACCGCCTCCACGGCTGCGTGGTCTCCTTCTTCCCTCGACCAACCGTTTTGCCCGTTAATCCTTTTCAATCCGAAGTCCCAGTTTCGAATTTGTCAGCCATGGCAGACGTCGCCCTTACAGATCCGCCCCCCGTATCTCACTTTTCGCTCAGTTTTTTTTTCACTTTTCGCCGTGTTTGGACAGCAACGGGGAAGTAACTGACTACTACAAGTGCAAAGTATGTCCTACACTCCACAAACAACCAAGTGGAAGAGGCACTACAAACGTGAATCAGCACATACGACTTAAGCACCCCAACTTTGAGGTAGAAACGCTGGCAGCTGGGCCAGGAAGGACGAACTCACTCTTGCCGTGAATCAGCAAGAAAGCGCAAAATCGATTTAATGGCTTGAGTGGACCATTTTCGGGAACCTGCCGTTCTCTTTCTGCGAGCAAAAGAGGACAAGGCGGCAATTAATAAATGCAGCTGAATTATATTGTAATTTGGGGCTAAATTTTTGTATGCTGCTGTATTTTTTATGTAGATACACGAATCTATCGGACATTTGCTTTGAAACACTAACGAGGGACATGCTCAAAGTGACCATTGCAGCTGAAGGGAACATAGCGGCGGAGATTTTAAAGTTCTTTGGCATCATATTCGACGGATGAATGCACGATTCTGAGCTTTTTATAGCTGTCTTTGCGTGCTACGATGCTGACGGGGTACCCTGTCGACCGCTACTTGCCATGGCACCCGTCCTGGAGCCACCAGAGGGCGGTGCTAATGACGCCATGATACAGCACAATGCTGAAGAAGCACACCGGGAGCCATGGTCCTCATACTACGCGTCATTGGTAAGAACATTAAGCAGGTGCCTTTTCTGGTTAGTGACAGCTGTCCTCTGAATAAGCACCTTGCCCGTCCACTGAAAGTACCGCTAATCGGATGTGCGAGTCACCGGCTGAACCTCGCGGCGTCACTTGTGACAGCAAGCTCGGAAAGTGTGCTAGCCAACATCCAAAAACGGATGGTCAGGCTTCATACTCTGATACAATCGGCCAAGCTACGGTAAACCTTTTTTTTTTAATATTTTTCAATATTTTTTTAAAAATATATATTGTTTTTGTCATAGATTCAAAACAAAACTCCGCCCGCCAAGACACCAGATGGGGGTTTACCTTCAAAATGTTGCACTGCTATTTCGAGGTACTCGAATTCGTCGACCGTGAAGATGAGAGCCTGGCTCAATTCGTCTCTTCAGCTACCGAAAACAAGAAGCTGAAGGAGTTGCTGGCAACGCTGGAGCGTTGTCAGTCGGTGTTTATGATGCTGCAGTCTGACGATGTGATGCTATGCGAGGCTCGCGTCTTGTTCAACGCATTACTCAATGAAAAGCCCGTCTTGAAGCGATACCTGGGTACGTTTCGCATTAAATTGTCCACCAATTATTTATACTAACTAGGATAACTGCTTAGGTTCAAGCGGATCTATCAATTCTGAGTCAGCTTGTGTCAGAATCTAGCGTGACAAGCAGCATCTCCATGAGCCGTCAAGAGATGAAGGCTGCCCAGCCTTTCCTCCAAGAGCCTGTGAGCGAAGTTATCCCGCGAGGTTCACAGAAAGAGACTTTTGCTGAGTCCGTGCTGAAGAAGGCCCGCCTGGCGTCCGTGGAGTGCTCGTACAGACCTAACCATACTATACCTCCGACATCCAATCTTGCAGAACGTGTTCAGCGTGGCTTGGGCAACCTATGGTATTGACAGGAACTCCTTTCTACCCATTTCGTTGGAAATTATTTTGCCTCTTAGTGTTAACGAGAGCTACTGCAATGCTGAAACAGTTCACCAGTGCATCGATTACAATGTATTAATGCGCCCATTAATTGCATTATTAGTCATAATGTACGGATCCCTTCTTGGGTTTGCCTCATGCAAAAAAATGTACGGACGACTCAAAAAATGACATGCGATTATTGCCATTATCGGGAGCCCTGAAAGTCATGGATGTTGCTGCCTCTCAAGGCGATACGCGGATGGTGCAATGGCTTCTTGAGAATCGATCTGGGTGGAATATCGGCGCTGCATTAGGCAAAGCAGCGAAATCCGGTCACTTGCGCGTGGCCCAGTGTCTAGCCCCTCGAGGGTCAGCGAATGATCTCATTGAAACGATACGTCAAGCCGCTTCACGCGAGCACTTTGAGATATCACTCTTTTTGTACGACACGTACGTGAAACATGGCAAGACCCTGCTGAACTTGAAGAGGAAACTGAGAGGAAATTCAAACAGAATCGACCCGGAGATACGTCAGTGGGTTTGGTATATTCCAACTTTGATTGCGTAAATCATCGCGCGAAGTACATCAATTACTTCAAAGTACTTAAATACGGGAGCTCGGAGTAGCAACAGGGCCTCCGAAATTAGCATTGTCAATAACATTATTTCCCGAAAATAACGATAAATTATTTATTTCAGCTGAGCGGGGTTCCGAATATGTTATTTTTATTGAGACTTGCAAAACATAAAAAAAAATATTTAAGTGCTTGGAACACCACGGGAGCAAAAATTAACCGAGCTTGATGGAGCCCTACGGACCAGCGACCCAGCTGAACCGCAATCTACAATCGATCTGCCGCGCTCTTGCCCTCTCATTTTGATGGTTTGTCGCTGACCCGACCCTACTGGAGCGCTGCCACGGTCCGGAAGGCTGTGCGTGGTGAGGCTCCCACCAACTAAGGAGAGAGCGCGGAATAAATTATTTGATTTTGAAATGGGAGCTCGAAAATAAATTATTTTAATGCAAAATAAAACAATTATATTTAATAAAAAGACCATTTTCGGAACCCCTGCACTAGATTAGTTATTTTGGGGGATTGGAGAAGTGCATAATGTATGAAAACAAACTGCAAGTATCATTTTTCATTTCAGAAATCACCTCGATATGGCTGCAACCCTGCATTTCTGGAGGTCTTGATCGTGGGTCACTTGAGGATTAGTTGCAATACTAAGCGGCAACAAGCAAGTTTTCTGTAATTTTATCAGAAACAATAATACTTTCTTAATTTTATTTGGATTTCGAGCTCTCCGTGTTGCAAATCAGATCGCAAAGGAAGATGCGAGGTATTCTTGTCACCCACAAGCGAGGCTTGACTTTGAAAATGCTAATTTTGGAGCGCTTGAATCTTCATAAATAAAAACTCTTAATGGCATAATTTATTTCGGCTGATGCCATTATTTATTTAACCACCTATTTACACTTCATCGGATAATTTAATGCACAGTTTTATTCTCATAAATAAAAAACGCCATCTTCGGAGGCCCTGAGTAGCACTTGCCTCAGCTCTCATGCACGCTGTATTTTTGCAAGTGTTTTAACTACCGTACGGTAAGATATATCTAGCGCTTCTTTAATTTTAACAAAGCACTGCAAAGATTTCGAATTTACTAAATTTAAATTATCTTACCTTTTTGTCATGCCACCACACGTCACATTTTAAAACGAGAGCCGACCCTGTGTACCAGAGTATGATCAGATCCTTCCTGTGAGTAAGGTATGGAGAAATCTTTTCGTAGCAATCACGATGTTTTTATTTTTATTGTGTACTTGAAGAAATTCACCCGCATAATTGCCTTGTCCCAAGGGCATTTTTTACCAGTAGTCATGGGCAGAGATTGATAGTAACTTGACTTATAGTAATAGTGAAGTAAATATTAATAACAAACTCTTATTAAACTAATATTAGAGCTATTAGTTTATTCTCAAAGGAAAACAAATGGTAATATCGTCTTATTAGTTTTAATTTTGATCAGATATTAATACCCTACTACTATCTGATTATAGAATGGCATTTCCTTATCGACCAACGCAGTCTGGTTCCTGGCGCTGGTGGCGGCAGTACTCCCCGCCTTACCCTCATGATCATACCCAGACACTTGTAGCACCATCTATCGAGCATGATGCGGTTCGTCGCACAGGACCGGTCTCGAATACAATGAAGGCGATCGGGAAGGTTTGTCGCTCAGGACCGACCTAAAGGACCTCATACACACTAATTTGCCTCATTTTTAATCTTTCCAGCAATCAAGAGCCCCTCCCCCTCGCTTTGCAGCCTGCCCTCCCCTCCTACGATCAAATGTGCCAACGCCGACTGCTCCTGTGAGGAGCTTACGACGACCACACCTTGTGTTGATTGTGGACGTGGTGTCCACCACATCTGCAGCAATGAGCTGTACGATAAAGGGACTCTAGCGGAGCGTTTTTGTAGTGCATCCTGCCTATACAAGTGGAAAACCGTGACCTCACCTCCTTCAGCATCCGAGATCGAAGCTCCAAATTTCACGTGTCCGATACCAGCTTCTCAGGAGTCAGTGCTGTCCGCTCACGAGTCAGCAGCGCCATGACGCGTATCGCGAAGTGTACTGCGCACAAAGCCAAGCTTCACGTGGGGCCATTCAAAGTGAAACCACCAATACGCTGCCAAATCTGAATCTCGTGCCAAGTGCTGAGGACGATACGACGATCTGCGGAGCTGCCGTCCCAATGACCAATGCTGGAGCCACGTCGCTATCAACACTACACGACCAAGCGGACAAGATCCTGGAGAAATGGCTGCAAGATTCTGTGGACTCGGTTTCCGTGGTGCTGCACCAAGCTCCTAAACCTACTACAACCATGGACAGTCTGACACCTATGCTGATGGCTCGACGCGAAGGGGTCTACTGCTGGAATGTCGAGGCTGTCTGTAAGCACGTCGATATCCTGCGCTGGTTTCAGGAGATTGGATCCACTCTGTTCCCATCTATTGCGGCTCTAGCGTGCGTCTGGCTGGAAAGATCGCCATCGATCGCGTTTCAAGATCGCGTTTTTTCTACTGGTGGCATCGTAATGAGCAGCCTGCGGACCCGAACGGACACTTAGATGCAGGTGCTCTTGAAGCACAATCGGGAGGAGATCCGCCGCATGGATGCTGGTTACACTTGCAGTACGCAAGTATTTAGCGCAGAGCGAGTAGCTATGTCACTGTTAGGTGACAGATAGAACGAAGCCTACGAGCGTTAGTGTAGTGAGGAAGGCTGCTCAGCAGAGCGTATATTCCAGAATGAAAATTTTCTGTGTTGCTACATTACCTGTCTCTCCTTCTCTCACCTTTCTCACACATGTTAGCAAAAACCCATTTGGGACAAAAGCCGGTGGCACAAAACCCATTCGGGACCAAAAAGCTAACCTCCCTAGAGAGCCTCAACTTGTGAACCAGTACATCGCAACAGCCCCACCTACTGGTTGGCATTGTTAGGCGCTCTTTCTTCAAATTCTTTGCGTGACATCAATCCCATCGCTGCTCTGTGCTTCTCGAACGCTGGGCGAGTAAGCGGTTTTGTGAAGGCATCTGCAATATTATCGGTGCTGGCCACACGCTCCACGTCAATATGCTTGAGCTCGATGCGTTCACGAACGAAATGATGACGAACGTCGATATGTTTCGATCTGCTGTGAAACTGGGGGTTCTTTGCCAGCTTCTTGGCACTCTCGTTGTCAACATATATTTGAGAGGGATTGCGCTGCTGCACTTTCAGTTCCTTGAGCATTTGTCGAAGGTGAACCACTTCTTGCACCAATAGGCTCAATGCCATATACTCTGCTTCAGTGGTATGAAGTGCGACTGTCTTTTCAGTTTGGCTGACCCATGATATTGTACTACCGCAAAACTTCGTTATGTAGCCTGCTACAGACTTGCGATCGTCAACACGATTGGCGAAGTCAGCATCAGCGTATGCATCTAGATGGTTGTCAAGTCTTTCACTTGCCCACTTAATACCACCCAGTCGCAAGCCCCAGTCAATCGTCTCTTTCAAATAGCGTAGTCCACGCTTTGCCGCTCTCCAGTGCATCAGGCCAGGATTGTCAAGAAACTGGCTACACTCACGAACCAAATACGCCAGATCCGGACGTGTGCCTAGCATTAGATACATTAGGCTTCCAATTACGGCACGATATGGTTTTGTCTTCATAAGATCGTTTTCATCAGTGTCGGTGGGACACATTGTCTTAGAGAGCTTCAGATCTGCAGTACTAGGAGTTTTACACCCATTGCACTCGCTCATCTGAAAGCGCTCCAGCACAGTCAACGTGTACTTACGCTGACTCACAAACACGGTACGATCCTGTCGATTACGGATAATCTCCCAGCCCAGGATGTAATGCAACTCTCCAAGATCCTTCATTTTGAACCGAACATCAAGCATATCTTTTAGCATCTGAATCATTACCAAATTTGGTGCGAAAAGAATCTGGTCATCAGCGTAAATTGTTATGAAGACCAGCCATCCATCGACGACTTTCACAGCAACACAAGGCTCGCAACTCAAAAGGCCAAATCCTTGTTCCTCTAAGTAAGATTTCAACAGGCGAAACCACACTCGTGGTGCCTGCTTTAAGCCATAGAGACTCTTTTTCAGGAAGCAAACCCAGTCTTCCTTCCCTTCAGCGACATAACCTGTGGGTTGCTCCATAAAAACCTCCACGTCAATGGCTCCATTGAGGAACGCAGCTGTCACATCCATCTGATGTGCCTCGTAATCCCATACTGCGGCAAGAGTCAACAGCGCACGCAAAGTATCTAGCCGAACCACCGGTGAGTATACTTCTAAGTAGTCAATGCCGTATATCTGCATAAATCCCTTGACAGCGAGCCTAGCCTTGAAACGCTCAATATCACCTTCTGAAGTATACTTTACACGAAATAACCATCGATTCTTTAGCACCTTCATGTGCTTTTCTCGAGGTACTAACACCCATGTGCAGTTCTCCATCAAGGCTCGATACTCTTCATCCGCAGCATCTTTCCATTGCACGGCATACTCGCTCAGTAGAGCATCGTCCAGTGTATGCGGCTCAGTAATTATACTTACAGCGAGACAGCAGTAATCCTGCCACCACGCCAACGCCTTCTCCTTTGCCATTGCCTGTTGAAGCTCTTCTCGAGCTTTGACCCATATAACAGACCCAGAGCACACTGCATCATCGTCTGGATTTGTGTTCGAGTAGGCAATGTAGACGTAGTCGCTAATCCATGACGGTGGTTTGCTAACACGTCCGCTCCGTGTTACCGGGCAGACCTCTGTGTTTGCACCTTCCAAAGCCACAAACTCTCGCAATCCTCGCTTCTTTGAGGTTGTTACACCCTCCTTTGACGAGTTCTCACGAGAACGTGACATCTCTGAGTCTGTGGTCGTCATTCCACGTGACGTCGGAGTATAAGCCCACTCACGGGTTGGCAACTCATCATTAAGCATTGTGTTACTTTTCTCATCAACATATTCCTGGTGTTGGACCTCTACAGTCGGTGCCTTGCGCCGCCCACTGTGCATTTTCTTCTTTGAGCGATGAGTTGGCATTGTGCCATGCTCATTGGACCCACCTCGCAGGTGGTCAACTTGCAAATGTTCACGGTCTCTAGCGCCGCACGCTACCGTTGTGCTTGAAGCACTTTGATTCATTTGCTTACAGGTCCGCTGTTTATTTCGACGAGATTCATTGTGCGGGACATCAACACATGATCGACCACGCTTTATGCTTCTTTGCATCTCGTCACGCACATCGCCACCTGAGCGTTCATCAGCTCGGGCCCAACCTGCTCGGGAGTCACTGACATGTGCATTATGTCCATCGGTCCCACTTGCATGATCATCCCTGCAGTGTGGCTCTACATCACCCAAGTGCTGATGCTCTTCATCTTCGGCCCCACCAATTCTGTCATTATGAGCTGCTTCTAATATTGATGGGATGTTCTCCATAACACCATCATCAACACCTAAGTACTCTGTTGTGGACGATTCTGGATGAATTTGTCCAGTAAACACGCGTCCAGGCTTGCTCTCATAGAATACAGCCGTATGACTGTAAAATGCTTGGTTTGTCTTGCTATCCAGCAAGCGGTTTAGCCACGCTTCTCGACTGTAGCCAACGAAAATCGCTTCACGAGCTTTAGGGTCCATCTTCTTCCTCTCAACTTTGTCGACATAAGCCAGAACAGCACACCCGAACGTTCTCAGCTGCGAGTACGCTGGTGTCTCTCGATGCCACACGGCAAACGGCACCTGCATACCTTTGGTGGCATTTGGTACAATATTAGCGTAGTATGCCGCCGTCACGGCTGCCTCTGCCCACAAATCCTGAGGTAGCTGAAAATGTGCCAGCAAACATCGCATTCGTTCAGTTACAGTCCTTATCATCCGCTCCGCTATGCCATTTTGCTCGGGTGTTTGCTTCACAGTAAGCGAACACTCCATTCCGTGCTTCTTTTCACACATTCTGCAAAGTGAAGTCAATTCGCGTGCGTTATCACACCGTAATTTCTTCATACGCACTTTGAGCTGAGTCTTCACATACTCATAGAGCAACTCAAACTTGGCATAGACCTCAGAGCGATTTTCCAGCAAAAATAGAGTCGAAAATCGACTTGCTTCGTCAACAAAGAAGACCGAAATATCGCTTACCCGAATAGGATGCGATGGCATACGGTCCCCATACGTCAATGTGCACAAATTCACCAACTAACCCACTCACGATCCGAAATGTTAACGGTGTGAAAGCTTTTTTGCGTTAGTTTTCCTTTCACACAAGACTCACAGTGAAACGTTTCATCAACACGCAAGCCCACATTAGCTAAAGGCCAATCTACGTGTCGGAACAGCGCGTTGAACACATTTCGTCCTGGGTGACCAAGTCTCACATGCCACAGGCTCGCACTCTGCTCTGATGTAGACGATACCACCATTACAACGTCAGGCGGACTCTCCAGCTCAAGGTGATAGAGATTGGTGTCGTCAATACGTGCTGCAGCTGACGCACTCTGCACCTTTACTATAGCACAGTCGTCGTCGTCGTCAAAATGAACACGAACACGTTGATTGGGAGGTAGCGTCTTCCGAGTCTGTCGTCGTACTGAGAACAGGCTACACTGGAGCTCTGGGACATAGCGTGTGTCATGTAACAGAAGGGTACATAGGCCACGGGATGTTCTCAACACCTTTTGGACAGTTCCAATGCCAGCCACATTAAGCCAATTCTCACCGCCGACTCTCACTCGTGCACTCAACGGCATGAACGTAATGAAGTCGCTCTTCTGGTTCGTGATGTGATTTGTGCAGCCAGAATCCAAATACCATCTTTTATGAGCTATGTTTTCCATTCTCCGTTGAAGGCAATCACCAGCAGCATAAGCATTATCACTTTCTTCACCAAAATAATTACCCTGAGAGCTACTGCTTTTCGCATTGCCACTCTTAGCTTGTTGGCCACCACCAGCTTTGCTGCGCTTTCCAGGCTGTTCCACTCCAGAACGCTCGCTTGGTGGCCGCTTGCCCAAGTATGGACAATCTCGAACTTGGTGGCCTTGCTCGTTGCAGTGATAGCAGCTTCCTAGGAGTTGCTGCTGGGTACCTCTGCCTTGTCCTCCTCGTCCACGTCCTCTTCCAGCACTTCCACCACGACCGCCTGAGCCACGTCCACCAAAACCACCACGTCGTCCAGGGCTACCGCGACCTCCTGGTCCACTACGTCCACGACCACGTCCGCGGCCTCGCCCCCGACCACGACCTCCACTAGACATATAAGCCTTATCTTCATCATCTACTTTGCCACTCTCCGTTTTACGACCTTGACGGCGATCATATGCGACCTCGAGAGCATGCTCCAACTGCTCATAATTTTGGGGTTCATTAATGTCTTGCGGTGTATGGCTAGTCAGAAACGTTTCTACCACGTTATCATACTCAGACGGTAGTGATCCAATAAGTAGTGCCGGTTTTTCATAGTCATCCAATGGTTTTCCGAGTACGGCAATATGTCCATTAGCCGGCGTACCTCCCCTAAGTGATCAGCCATATTGGCTTTTGGATCAAGACGTAGGCGGCGTAGATTAGTCATTTCCTCTGCGTACTTGAAGTACGTTTTTCCGACAAACCGCTTCTTTAAACGCTCCAAAACACGAAAGGGGGTGGGCTCGTACTTCACTGTTTTCATAATTTGATTTGTCATGCCATCGTACAGGATCTCCTTGGCCCGGCGAGTCTCCTTCTTCCACCTGGCATGCTCTTCAGACTCCTTACTCTCATCGGGCTCTAGCACCTCTGTCTCGCAGTAGCGCCACAGCTCCTTCCTCTCCAGCTTCAACGTGATCCTATCCAGCCAGACCTCAAAGTCGTTCCCATCGAACGGCAGGTGCTTGAGCTGTTTCTCCTCTCTTGGCTCCTTCTTGTCCTTGGTACTCATTATCTTGACGAACAACCCAGTTGTAATACTTGGGCTCATAACCACTTGCAGTACGCAAGTATTTAGCGCAGAGCGAGTAGCTATGTCACTGTTAGGTGACAGATAGAACGAAGCCTACGAGCGTTAGTGTAGTGAGGAAGGCTGCTCAGCAGAGCGTATATTCCAGAATGAAAATTTTCTGTGTTGCTACATTACCTGTCTCTCCTTCTCTCACCTTTCTCACACATGTTAGCAAAAACCCATTTGGGACAAAAGCCGGTGGCACAAAACCCATTCGGGACCAAAAGCTAACCGCCTCAACTTGTGAACCAGTACATCGCAACAGTTACCAACCTGGTAGCCTATGAGGACCTCTTGTGGCCCACACAGAATCCAAATAATATTGGTGGTCGACATATTAATACTTTGTTATTATTATCACTAATATTAGCTTGTTTTGGCGCCTTTTTCAAACTAATAGTCAGCTATTAGTTGAAATTTTGGTAATATCATCTAATATATTAGTTTAAAAAATCATTTTAATATCAATCCCTGGTCATGGGTACTAGGCACTAGTATTGGAAACTGTTTCGACCTTCATCATGAGCGGGTTCTTCATCCTGATAGTTACGCCGTTGCCGTATGTGACGTCCTGGCCGTTCACCTCTACCAGACGAAAGTAACTCACCAGACACGAGAGTACCAGTTTCAGCTCCAGCATTGCCAAGTTGCGACCAACACACACTCGAGATCCAGCACTGAAAGCCACGAATTCTGTTGATGACATTTTCAGCAATTCGCCCGTTTTCGGATCGAGAAATCGCTCAGGCACGAACGATGAGGCGTCAGGTCCCCATACACATTCAAGTCGAGCGGTGGAGTACGTCGACAGTAACACAGCGGAATCAGCGGGGATAAATGTGCCATCGGGGAACACCGTGTCATGATAGCAATGGTATGGAATGATTGGAACTGAGGGAACTAAGCGCAAAACTTCCCGAATTGTTGCCTCCAAATAGGGAAGATCCTGAACTTCGTCCATGGACGGTACGTAGTTCTGTAAATTTCCGAATTGAGGCAGCTTTGTCATTAGTTCTTCGCGCAGTTTTTTCAGTACACGTGGATGATGGTCAAGTTCATGCATTAACCAACTTAGAGCATCTGCAGTTGTGTCCCGACCAGCAATCATTCCAGCGAAGGCAATGTCCCGAATGTCAGAAGGAGTAATTGGTTGTCCGCTTTTCTCCATGGAGTCGAGAATAATGGACACAATGTCTTTATTTACTGATCGGCTGTGTCCTTGTTCACGTCGCTTCATCGCAGTAGAGATCGTTTCCATCAGATACTCATTGATTACCACCATAGAATCCCGAAGTAGACGTTCACTTCCCACATTTAACCAGCGTTTGAGTTTCCAAAGCCAAACTGGGTATGAAAATCTCTCGGTGCAAATGTAATGTGCTTCATCGAATGCGACTTCAAACGGGTGATCCTCGATGGATTTCAAATTCCCGAGCTGCTGTCCAAAGCCGATTTCAGTAAATGTCTCGAACGTGAATTTGTTCATCAGTCTGTAAATGTCAATTTCTTTTCCAGTGTCACTGGCATTTGACAAAATTTCCATTAGAACATGGACATTTTTCTGAACTACTGGAGTCATGAACTCGCGCATGGCTCGAGCACTGAAGAGATTCACAAGCACTTTTCTGTGGTATTTCCAGCGATCTCCATTGACGAGCAAGATGCCGTTTCCCATGAAGTCCGAGAAGACCACGTGCACGTCGATTCCTTTGCTAAAATTGCTAGATTGGGTTTTTAACACCTGTTCGAAATGTTCTGGTTTAGCCAAGTAGATGAGCTTGTTCTTCCCGACTAATCGAGCGCCGATCGGATTTCCGTTGCGTTCTTGGAATTGATCCGAGATCCAGTCCTGGATGCGTGGAATGTTGGCAACCATCTCGAGTGTGTTGCCAAGCAAAGGGATTCCTGGAAGAAAAGACACTGGGATAACACCATCAGGAGGTGGGCTCTTCTTGCATACCGAGAAGAATGTGACGACTGCGGTAGCCGTCGCTAGACCGAGACGGATCGGACCGAACTTGTCGTCGGCTCCTAGCACGGATGGCAGCAGCATTTCGACTGGGACGCGTCAAAGATCTCAAACTGGCAACAATTTTGATACTGGTTCAGTTCTGTCAGTTGACTGCCTGTCCGGATAAAACCTGAAAAGAAAAACGCAAAGAAACGACTGTTTTTCTTCTTTTTTTATTGCTGCAATTTGACACTGCTGTATACATGTGTATACAAAGAGTATGGGTTGAAGCGGATTAGCCAATCGCCCAGGGAAGATTTTTTCCAGTTTCGGAATCAGTTGGTAAGCGCAACGAGGTGTCCAACATCATGGTGCTACGTGCGTTCTGGAACATCGGCGCTGGGTTGGTGTATCGGCTGGCGAACAAGCAGTCGATGGGCAAAGGAGTCATGGGCGTGAGCTATCCGTCCGTGTGGAAGGGGAGAGCGGGACTGCTTGACTGCGATGTCAATCTCCACCTTAATAATGCGTCTTTCCTCTACAACATGGAGCTCGCGCGTTGGCACCTTACCGCGTACGGTTTCTTTCAGCTATCAAACATTAGTACGAGCGTTGACTGTGCTTGATTTGTGTTCGTACAGTGCCAATGGCATCTTGTGGCAGGCAATCAAGAACCGCCGCATGGTCCTCGTGGGCTCGCAGGCTGTTCGCTATCGCCATGCCATCCCTCCTTTCCACGCGTACGAGATCAAGACGCAGGTGATATACTGGGACGACGACTGGATCTACCTGTTGCATCGCTTCCAGGACCCCACGACTGGAAAGCAGTTCGCGGAAGGGCTCGTGCGTGGCGTCATAATGAAAGGCCGTCGTCGGGTATCTGCGAATAAGCTTTTTGCAGAAGTGAGTGACGGCGAGATGATTGAAGCACCGAACGAGATACCCGAAGTGGTGAAAAGCTTTTTACAGTGGGACAGTGCGTGCAATGTCAGTATGCGAGATGCTGGTCAGAAGGCCGAGCTGGAACTGGAGTCAAGCCCGCCTTCGCCCCCGCCCGAGAAGGTCAGCGCTCGCATCTGGCAGGAAATGAAGAGGTCCATGAACTTGCCGTAGACGTATGAAGGCCAGAAATTGGACGAAATATACTGAATTTGTCATTTTTTCACGTCGGAATTTTCTCGTCGTCCCAACAGTGAAAGACGGTGCCATAAGCTTAGGCATAACTTGTTCGCACACATGGTTGGGCGTATAATGTGGAATGTGGGTGCGGGTCTGGTGCATCGAGCGCTGAACAAATCGCGCATCCACCCAGGTATGGGCATCACGTATCCGTCAGTTTGGCGAGCGCGACCTGGCTTCCTGGACTGCGACATTAACCTGCATCTGAACAATGCGTCGTACCTCTCCAATATGGAGCTGGCGCGATGGCACTTTTGCGCGTGCGTTGGTCTAAACTGGCGACTATTTTCAGTTTTCAACGGCAAACACTGATGCACATTCTTATTTCAATTTTTCTTTTTTTGCTGTATTGGCGAGCAGGGTGACCGGAATTCTAGGCAACGTAGCTCGCCACCGCCGAGCGTTACAGGTAGCCTCGCAAGCCGTCCGCTTCCGACACCCGATTCCACCATTCCGACCGTACGAGATTCAGTCGCAACTCGTGTTCGCTGACGTCGAGTGGATGTATTTCTTGCACAAATTTCAATGCCCCACCACGGGAAAATTGTATGCCGAGGGCCTGTGTCGCGCCAGTTGCAGGCAGGATGAGGAGAAAGTGTCCGCAGCCAAGTTATACGCCGAGGTTTTCCGAGGCGATGTCGAGCTGAGCGAACTGCCTAAGGACATGCCTGAAGTGGTCGCGCAACTGCTAAAATGGGACTCCTCCCAACGCATCACGCTGGAAGCGAAACCAGAGGCGGTACAGCGCCAGAACGAGACGGTCATGCCGTCCGCCTTGGCGCTGACCTCGGGCGACAGCAATCTGTTCAAGAAATTGCTGGCACGTGCAACATCCTCTTGGAATTTGCCAGTGTAAAGTTCATAGTCAACTGCCCAGATCCGGATACGTACCGGTATGCAAAGCAACAGTTTTGTTGAGAAAAAGAACCAAATTTTGTTAACCTAGATTTTGTATCATCGCGGCAGAAGATAGGGGGATGCGCGCGCCACCTTCTCGACCATATCCTCGCCATCGCCTGTTTTAGCACACTGGACACAGTTTTTCTGTTGCTCGTTACACTCCCTATCGCTTTCTCCTGTCGCGCGCCGAGAAGTCTTACTCGATAAACCCACAAAAAAACACAGCTGAACAAGACCTTCGAATAAGAACAGATAATTGCAGAAATACTACTATACTTAAACTCCGTTATTAAGCTCGGTCCGCGCTGACCTGGAGCGTGCACTACGCTGAGAACGCGGCGGGACACGAGCTGGAGCGGCGGCAGCCACGCCAGCCTGCTATTTAGACTACAGTCGCCTTGCACCCCCAAAAAGCGTCAGGTCGTCACAACGGCCTCGAAGCGCATAGGGGCGGGGCGACCCTTTACTTCTTTCTATGAGTTGGGAAGATGTCGGGAAAAGTCGGACACTGAATCAGCATCAGCACCCATAGACCCACGAACTCAAATGTCCATGGATGACTGATACAGACGAAAAGGAAGATCTGGACTCTACCAGTGGCTTAGTTAATCCGAGCGACTTTGGAAGGTACCACGACGGGGTTCTCTTCTTCAAGCATGCGCTTACCCGCCGTTTTAAAGTTGAACGCACACTTGTGTTCCTCAGCGTACCGGTGCTTTCCACAGAACGTGTAGTCGCAGCGGCACTTGACAGCCGTCAGGCCTACCTTCACTTTACACTCCCAGCAGCGCCGGCGATTCTTCTGTACAGACTTTCTTTCTTCTTTCTTTTCTGCCTTGTCCTCCGTAATTATGGTTGTAGGCGTCTCGTCTTCACAGAACGTCGAAGGCGGCAGAACGGACGACTTTGAGCGCTTCAGGCAGCTTTTCCGATAAGTCAGCGACGCCTTCACGCTCTGAAGAACGGCGGGAGGAACACGCGTGAAGCGCTGGGCTGAAGCTGACGTGTCGGGAGACGCATCGACACTAGACGGGGAGGCCGCCCCGGAAGGAGGGGCCTTCAGACAGTCGCTAGCGGTCGCGGCCGGCGTTGTTGCCACGACAGTAGACGAAGCTGTTGCTGTGGACGTAGCGCTGGCTGACGATACGCTCGCAGGAGCGTCAGAAGCGGGAGCGCTGGAGGACGTAGATGTCTTGGTCACCATATTTTGCGGGTTGAACGGCGAGAGGAGCGTCGTTAAGACCGGAGACGAGTTGTGCGCCACCGAGCGAAAGCGGAAATGAGGTCCTGCGATGGAGGGAGGGGGGGAAGAAAAACCGCAGCACGGGCTTCTGGGACAGGGGCGCAAGGGGCATACAAAAACTGTGTGGAGAGCGAGCTGGGGAAAAAACTGGAGGAAGCCGGCATCTGTGTAACTTCCTTCGGATTGTGGCCAATCGGATCTCTTTCATTTGGAAAAATGCCCATCGACAATTCCGGATTCAAGAAAACAGCATGTATACGTTCAATATACACCGTCCGGAAATGATGGCAAGGGACAACCCTTGCGTCGAAAAGACGCTCGATTTATTTAGGCACTCGACCCCTCAGCAATAGTGCTCTGTTTGGTTAAAATACCAAGTTAAGGAAGAAGGCCGTTGGCAGTCCCATCATTAATACAGCAGATGGCCGCATTGCATCCGAGCTTGCTGCGTTTGCACTCTCTAACTTTATACCGGTTCTTCTGGTAGCACACCCATCTGGAAATTAGGCTCCCTTTTCTGCCTTTATTGCGTTACGAGCCGAACAACAGCAAGCATGGGCCGAGGAGAGGACGACGGCGGCCGGCTGCCTACGATCAGCCCCAGTTGATATTCTTCATTACTGCTACGATTTCCGTCCGAGGCCTGGGTCCTTTCCCATCTGCGTTGTCTGTCCTGGGAAAAGCAAGCATACCAAAAAAACCGGGTTTTTTGCTGCGCTCAGCCATCCCATCGAAGCACATATGTCCCCCTGTCATCGAGCATGACCATCACTCAATGTCACTATCCATTTCAATGACAGATTTGGCAACACCTATTGTGTTGCACCTCACCGAACACAAATCCGGTATTACAGTCAACGGAAGAGCAGCCATGCGGCTTGGCCTGACGTCTCCGTCGGCTTCGCAGGCATCTGACAGGCGCCATCCGCTTGCAGTGGCTAGCCGCTCGTCCGTCTTCTGTCCCATTGACGTGGACGGCGACTCTACTGACGATGCAAAGTCTCCGGCGTCACGCCACCACGACTTGTCCGCACTCTCTTCGCCCAAACGCGGGCCTTCAGTCCTGGATCTCTCCATCGATGCCGCCTACAATAACGGTACAAATCGACGCCAAACTAGAGCGCAGGAACTGGAGTACGACGACAGCGAGATGCAGCACAGCGAGCACAAGGATGACGTAGAGTGGCCGGGCAGCAGTGCCTCCCAGTCGCCTGGTAGAAAGGAAGAGAGAAAAAAGCCACCACTCAACTTTTTCTTCAACGTAGAAGAGCGATCCACGCCCAAGAAGCCGCGAAGAGAGGCTTTTGGCTCCAGTCGTCGTGAAAGTAGCAGCGCACGCAGCTCTCCAGCCCCGGACGAGCTCCACGAGGTCATCTCGGCAGCACGCACGAGCATCTGCGGCCAAATGTTTGACCGTTGTGAGCTCGAATTCGGGCAAGATCGAGTAGAGCTGACGATATGGAAAGACAACAAGGCGCGTTGGCAGGGGAGTGTCAAGTATGCGCACATGGTGCGCTTCTGGTACGTCATGAGGGTATGCTGGGGTGTATAAAACTCTTATCATTGTGTGCTTCTTGCCAGCTTCTCTCGAGTCAATCGCTCGCCGTACATCCTGCTGCTGGAGCTGGATAACTCCAGAGGAAGGTCGGAATTCGCGACCTTCTACGACCCCATATTCGCAAAAGTATGCGAAGAAAACGAGGCTAAGGGGAAGGCAACACCAAGTATGTGTCTCCTTTCTGACAGCAGTGTCCAATTATGCTAAATGGTGGGTTATTTTTGTGTATTTCCTGTTGATATAGAGGTGTACGGCGTCGTGTTTTACTTTGACGAAGAAATCGACTATATGCGCTGCCAGAGTATGGGCGACAACAATCCGAAATTGGCGCATCTCTTCAAGGAAAAATTGTCGTAAGCTTGCATGATGATTACGCACTAGCAAGCAGCTCTAACACGTCGTGATTTTGCTCCCAATTTGATGCAGGGAGACCGAAGTGCGGCAGTTTTTGAAGCTGGACATGCCTTTTAGGTCACGGTACCCGCGTCGTGTCGAGGTGAAACCCAGCTCGTCTTCAGGCGCCGGTCGTAGCTTGGCGTCGAGAGTGGGGTGCGGGGCTAGACAAGCGCTCGGCAGTGTGGCTAGCTTCTTTCGTCCAACGCCACAACCTTCTGTGTTGGAAGAGGATGAGAACCCGTCAGTTGTGCGAGACCGTGGCGGTTCAACGCGAGGCCGAACACTGAATTTGTCTCGTGATAGTGGTCGCATACCGCCGGACTTGGACGAGAAGAAAGCGCCGATCGCTGTCGATATAGACAGGCAGTATCGAGATTTAGGTGCAGACAGCGCTGTGGACAACGTGGTGGTTATTCAGAACACCCACCAAGACGAACAGGATACGAGAGACAACTCGGCAGCATCTTCTCCATCGCAGGAGGAGAAAACAAGCGACAAAACAGAGAGCAGGAAACGAGCAGCTACAAGTCGACGTGAGGACGAGAAGCTGAAACGCAGGAGGATTGAGAGTCGTCGCAACGAAGTGTTGCTCACATATCCGTACGATGGCTCGGACACGTCGGGACGGATCTCAGTGACGCTCGGCGACGTGGACCGCCTTGTTCCTGGGGAGTTTCTGAACGACAATATCATCGACTTCTATCTACGGTGCGTATCGCTACTAGACGGGAATTATGCTCGTGGTACTGACGTGTTTGAACCGTGTGTAGATTTCTCTGGCGCCATTTGCCTCCGTGGCAGCAGCAGCAGACGTATTTCTTCTCCTCGCACTTTTTCACGCAGCTGAATGGCACCAACGGAGCTCACGAGCTAACAAAGGCAGACCCAGACGAACGATTCGCGCGAGTTGCGCGCTGGACGCAGAAGGAGACGAACCTTTTCGACAAGCGCTTCTTATTTATTCCTATCAATGACAGGTACTGCTCTTTGTTTCTATCACGGCTGTGTATCTCTAACCGTAGTTATGACCTGCGGCACGTAGCTTCCACTGGAGTGTCGCTGTGTTTTGTAATCCAGGCTCAGCTATTATCAAAAAGCACCGGAAAGTTCGACGTCGGCGTCAAAAGCTCGCTACGGACAAGAAAGAAGTGGTGGACCTGGTGGATGGCGATGGAGAATCGCAACGGCCATCAGACGCAGAGGCTAACGGCGGTGACAGTGCGGAAGAAGAGGTTGAGGAAGAGGAAGTGCAGTCGTGTCAAGAAGATCGACTCGCTAATTCTCCCTGTCTGCTGTTCCTGGACTCTCTGCGCTGTCATCGAAAAAAGAAGTTTACAAAAATGCTACGCGACTATCTGGAATGCGAGTGGAAAGCTCGTTACGCTGCCAGTGCTGTCAGTGTGTCAAAAGATGAAGAAAAACTGGATCCGAACGAGTCGATTGTGACGGTGTTCGACTCGGAAAGCATCGGTCTCCTCGAGCCAAACGTACGCAGCACTCGTTTACTGACACGTGACGTCTGTTGCTAATTGACTTCCTCTTAGATCCCTTTGCAGAGCAACAGTTCGGACTGCGGCGTCTTTCTGCTCATGTACGCTGCGTCGATCGTCCACTGCTTCCCTGCCGGCGTGACGCGTGAAGATCTGGACAACAACTTGACGTCGTCACTGACCCCAACGATGTTCCGGGATGAGCATGTGCTGGAATTCCGTGAATATCTGCAGCAACTTCTCTTCAGTCTGCAATTTCTAGAGACTCACGGGATCTCGGAGGAGAAAGTCAAGGACGAAGAGCTCGAAATGTTCACGATCGACTAACCTTGGCAACTTAACGGAATGTACACTCCACGGATGCTTTATAAATATTAACAACACCCTGTCGGTAGGTATCCACCGATGTTATCTAACTTAACACTGTTGTTTTGTGGCTCGCCAAAAGATATAAACTACAGTGAGTGGCTGGGGAGCAGTCGTCGGAGGCCACGCACCACAAATTCGCGTTGACGCGGAGTCTCCACCACCAGATCGAGCGTTCGCCATGGACAAATGATGGACAGGCAGAGCTCGGAAGGTGGCGCAGACTTGAGCGATTGGAACGCCTCGGTAGAGTGACCCTCTCGGATCTCCATGATCTCACGAAGCTGGATGGTACGTCCACGCTTACCAGAAGTTTTGTTGGTCGACACTGCATTCTTCCTGGCAGTCCAAGTGACGCTTTCTTCCATGAAGTTGACGGTCAAAGAAGTGGAGTGTGGCGTTGTCGATGGCTTGTAGCCAAATTTGACAACTTGGAAGCCACGAGACAGCAACTCGGCGAATCCCAGAGCTTCGCAGTCTTCGATACGAACACGTTCCAGCTCTTGTGCGTTGCTGGCGTTAGCATTGACATGGTCAAACCACGGATGGCTCAGTAATTCTTCAGCAGAGATTCGCTCGGCGTCGTTTGTCTTCAGCATCTGCAGCAGAACGTCTTGTGCCAAGGGACTCACCGTCCGCCACTGCACATTCGAGAGACTCAAGCAGCTCATGTCTCGTACGTCTACACCGGTTGGGAAGTGATCCATACACTGCAACGCTGCTGCAGACTCCACACTGAACGGGAAGGCACCGAAGAGCAGCACATACAGCACGATACCAAGACTGAAGACGTCGGATTTCAAGCCATACGGCTGTCCACACAGCAGCTCTGGAGCAGCATATTCCAGCGTGCCACAGCTGCGCTTGAGCATCGTTGAAGAGCTCTCGAGCTGCTTGGCCAGCCCGAAATCTGCAATTTTCACCATGTTCCCGTGGATCAGGATATTCTCCGGTTTAATATCGCGATGAAGCACACAGCGACGATGCAAATACGCGAGTCCCTCGACTACCTGACGAATGATGCGTCGAGCTTCAGGTTCTGGAAGACGTTGGCGTTCAATGAGCTGATCGCACAAGTCGCCGTCTTTCAAATAGTCCATGACCACGTAATGGAGATTCGTGTCGCGCTCGTAAACACCTTCGAGACTGACGACGTTGGGGTGCGACAGAGTGCGTAGCAGTCGCTCCTCTTCTTCCAGCGCCTGCGAGATCTTGCAGCACTTTACTGCACATACCTGTCCAGTCATGCGGTTGACTGCACGATGAACGATCGAGAAAGAGCCTTCGCCGATCTCCTTCATCAACATATACCTTGCAGAAAAGGCGTCGAATGTCCCCACTTCTACTACGGTGCTGGTGAGATCCACAGAGCTCGACTGAACATGATCGTGTGACGTCTTCTCGTGGCGTTTTCGAGCTTCGAGCATGAACTGTATACACTCTGTCCATGCGGCGTGGTCGGTTTCGTCTTCTGCCTTTAGAAATACTGGCACGTCGACAGCTTTGGCAGGTGTTTGGTGTCCTGTGATCTCGACGTGCGTCAGTACAAGCGTCAACGATGAGCTGGATGAAGTCCACGTTCGTCGGCGCTTTTCCGATGTGTCACTGGCGTCTGCACATTGTTTGGGCGTATTTGGTGCTTGTTGTGTTTGATTTCTATCATGTTCCAGCACCGAGTTGCGTGTGAACTTCACCTCAAACAGCGATGTTGCGGCGTCTTGTGTCTTGTAGCATACGAGTCCATGCTCTCGAAGACGGAAATATTTCCGTTTCCAGCTCTTGAGTAAGCCAGCGGCTTTTGGGACGCGGTGCTGCAGATAACCACCGTGGTACCGTTTGCCACTCTGCTGGCGAGGACTCAGGACGCCTTGGTACGATAAAGACTGCGTGTTTTCCACTTTGTTGAGGTCGAGATGTGGCATCTCGGTGTGGCTTGTTGGCAATTGTTGCACCTGTGCGTCCTCCAGTTCGTCAAAGTCCGAGGAACCGGCGGAGCTAGCGCGACCGTCTAGCTGCAACGTGAATGTTGGGGCTGTCTCGAAGAGGAAGGAGGGTGATGCCATGCACGTGGAGACTTCTGACGCCGCCGTCGAAGAGCCCGCGTCACTCGTGCGGTGGCGCGGCTTTATGTCCGGTGTTAAGGGGGTTGACGGCTCAGGCTCGTGGCAAGGGCGGAGCTGAGATGCCGAAGGAACGGAAAGATTGAGGTCGGCCATCGGGCTGGAAATAGCCCAATTGTGATGGGACTTTTTCAATCAAACTGTCTGTTACCAACACGAAAGCGAAAATAGTGAGTGAAACGTGGCAAGGAGGCAACTGAGGCTAAAGTTGCCGTGGTAATCAACAGCCAAAACGCAAAAATCATACTGTTGTTGTCGACCGAGGAATTCTGAAAGTGATCCAGTTGCCAGAGTTAGCGGTGAATGCGTGCACAAGTGTCCCACTGTTTCACAGCCGACACACAGCCCCTAACTAGATTATACAGGCTATCGAAACTTGAAAAGGTAGAAAATGTCACCACATCCGATATGCGATTATGCAGGTAGGTTATTTCTACAACAACACTAAAACGGGGGTCGCCAAATTTATGACACATGGATTGAGGATGGACGCGCGTGACACCCACCGACGCTGCTCGCGAAGGAGCCATCGGCGGCGATCTTCAAGCAGCTCATGCGGTAGCTCGTCGTCTTCCGGCAACTCCGACCACTTCTCGCGTCGATATCGGCGCTCTACCCGTCGCAACTCACGAAGTCGCAGTCGGAGCCGGAGCCCACTCGAACGTCGTCACAGACGCCGAGATCGTCGCTCACGCCGAGACGCTGGTCATGCTCTTCTAGCGCCTCGTGTATGTCTCGTTCTGCAATTATTCTTTGAAAAAATTGTATTCTGATGCTTGGTGCACTGGTTCAGCGTGACAACCGACATCGAGAAGAAGGGAGAGAATCGCATAGAATTCGTCGCCTGGACAGCCCAAAAGAGTCGCGACGGGTTGCACCGAACGCGGCCGCGATAAAGTCAATTATGCTTGGCACTGCGCGGTCAAGAGACCGCATGGACGAACGTGAGCGAGCGCGAGCGACGAAGAAACTCGAGAGTCTTGACACTAAAAGCCAAAAATGAGCAAATTTGGGTTGATTATTTGCCAGAACTGGGTAGTTTTGTTATTAACCCCTTGGTTCCCAGGATTTGGACCTCGGAACCGTTAAGATAACGTCGTAACTTACAACCTTCGTTGTATCATGTCGTTTGTATAGTCGTGTACTATTCACATCGGGCTAGGTGCATAGGTTTTCACAGGTGAAATTTTGATTAAGTCGTAAGTTACACTGCTTCGTTTGTTGTTGAAAAGATGTAATGGTCGTAACTTTGTGCATTGCAGAAGACCCACAGCTGGGCACAGTTGGATTAGGAACCAGATCAGTCCAGAATTTGCTAGACAGAAGGTACGATGACTCAAGAAAGCTTGTTTTATAGCTACTCACAAGGGATTTGACCATTGCGTTTCTACAGATCAAACGCACTGTCGTCCTCACTACCATCGTCACTACGACGACGTTGCTCGTCGTCTGCTTCACACTCTTCTTCACGTAGCAGCTCTCTTCTGGTCTTCTTCCGCTCTCCGGTCTTCTTTCCAGGTCGCCTGAGGACAACGCGCTTGCCAAGCGAAGTCGGAATGGCGAGCCCACACTCGAAGTCCTCGTGCCAAATCTGAAAGCACGTTTTCATCACGCCCCTGTACTCACGCCTTGCCTTCGGACACAGGTAGCACTTTGCGTCGTCGATAGAGCACTGATCACAGTAGAAGGTGGTCTGAAACGACTTCTTTCGCTCTCCACGAAGCAGCGCGCATACCTTACAAGAACGTTGGCGTCGTTTCTGAATGCCCGAGACCGTTATCCAGTCGTCAACCTGTATGAGAGAGTGGCCAGCGCGTCTTCGCCTGCGTGTCTTGCCTCCAGGAGAAGGTGTAGACGCCACTCCAGCAAAATCCTGCTCCTTTAGCTGCAGCAACTGCTTGTGTAGTACGGCATACCATTCTCCACGCTTCAACGCCGGGGTATTCGTGAATTTGCACGCCTCTTTGTGCGATATATAAGCGATCACCATAACGAGATCCATAAGACCTAAAAATAGGCTCTTGTAATACTTGGCAAAACGAGCAGATGTCTGAATTGAGAAGGTTTGGAGGCGGAGTTGGTCGTGAACATTCACTACGCCCATCCACTCCTGGTAGTCGTTTACTGCCTGTGGACACGGCACTGTCGTCGGCCCTGCACCCTTTACGTTGCGGTTAATCGTTGACGCATTCATCACTGACCCTGTGCATAGGTAATGGACCGGTTTACGGTCCCACCAATGGAAGGCAATCAGACTTGGCACTGATAACGACCGCGAAAATGTGAACGACCCACGCGGTATGGTGCTTGGTCTGGTTTTCCGAGACTCCTCAACATTGCGATCATATCCAAGACGTCGTGTCATGATAGTGCCCACGACGTACACACTCATAGACAGCAACTCGATTGCCAACGGGATGGACGAATAAAAGCGGTCAATCGTGACAGCATGAAATGCTTGGCGTCCTGAGGCAAGTACAACCTTGAGGTTGCGGACCACCGCTGCAGCTCCAGTCTTATGGTCAAATGCGCTCGCCTGATCTTCACGAGTCTTCACCTTGCCCACGTAAATCTCGAATCTCCAAAGTTACGACAAAATATAACGCGGTCAATAGCAAAGGCGTAAGTTACGGCATTACGATTTGAAGAAAAAAAAGCACGGGCTCACCTGTGGCAATACGCAGTTCTGGCATCACACGTCATAAACATTTTGGACCCGTATCGGTGCGGCTTGTCCGGCATGAACATCCTCGTGGTGTTCCGCCTAGACGTCGCTGGAAGAACACCTTCGTCAAATGAGAACACAGTAGGTAGTGTCCACCCGGCAAATAAGCGCTTTTGCAATTTATCAACCACAGGACGAAGCTTTCGCAACTTGTCACGGGTAGGCTCACTTTCGTTATCCACAAAATGTAGATCTCTCAGGATATCCTGGCAGCGATTGCGGGGCATAAACCTGCCGAAGGTTCCAGCGGGGACCGCGCCGTCTTCTGTCATCGACCAGTGTTGAGCAAAGCGCCGTTGCTGCGGGCACAACATGTGTGCTACCAAGAGACCCAGCACATGAAGAATCTCATACGTGCCATACACTGGCTTCATTCGAAGGCGTCGTCGTATTTGTTTCAGCGTCTCGGTTGGCGCCCCACGCCGCTCAGTCTGCTTTGCACGCAATCGCTCGGCTCTTGGTAGGATCTGCTGATTGCGGTAGCGGTTGGTTTCTTCACAGATACAGACCCACAAAGACTTCGGAGCAAAGTAGAAGAATGTATCCAGTGGTGAATCGCATAGGTTCCGTAGTTCAACAACGGGATGTGCTTCTTCGGTAACGAGGCCAGGATATCCGTCAGACAATTCGAAATTGGACGATGGTTGAGTCCACTGCATGTCCGAAGCGTTTGCTGTCGCCTTTCCAGCGCCGGTCGGCTTAGTTGATCGTCGTCACCGATACTTAGTGAAGCGATAAACGCCTCATCCATCTGGACAGCATCCGTCTCCGAAATGACGTCGTCATCGTCGTCCAGGGCACGAAGCTCCACAAAGTCCTCCTCATTGTCTCTCAGTGCACCACTATCGCTATCTCCCGAGCTCAAGTGCTCGTAGTCGCTCGAGTTCTCGTTGGCCTCCACAAAGTTAACGTCGCGCTTGAATTCACGCCGTGGTTGAGCTCGCCTAGGGACAGGTGCATCGGGAATCCAAGCTTTCGACTCCAGAAGCCCCCGAGAGATGTTGTAATTGGGGCCGTTCCTTCAATTACATCCCGCTCTGAAATGCCATCCTGACCGTCGTCTTGCGGAAGGTCAAATGCGCGATTTACAGCTCCTTGCGACAGCTCCACTTCGCTTGGCGTAGGCGAACCGAATAGGTCTTGCATAGTGCCCTGCGACAACTGGACACTGGTGTCGATCTGGGACGCACGCACAATGACCTCCGCTTCGCTGCAATCTTCGCCGTCTTGCACATCAGCTTCATGGTTGACCTGGTCCTCAGCTTTGCGCTCCTCGTGCTCTACAGACGCCTCTCCCTGTATTCATGCGTTAGTATAGATGATATTTCTTGCATAAACGATAGCCTCACCTCGTTCTCGGTCCGTAGCAGTCCGGACTCAATGACATGAGCCACTACAGCTGCCTGGCCGAGAAAAACGTCGACGCCCATATCGCCGTTAGCAGGCGCTCCTGGCTTGACGTATGTCCAGTGTGTCTCTAGGCCTTTGGGACGTCTGGAGCGCCAGCCAGCCTCTCGTAGCTGTCGCTACAAGTGCCGGAAGTCGACGTCGTCCGGAAGCGTGTCAGGTTTCGCGCGTCCAGTCGATCGAATACGCGCCATCAGGAAAATTTTCAAATGAGGGCTGCGCAACCTGCAACACAGCTTTACAGACCCTATCCCTGTCTAGGTTTTGCATTTTCCTGTGTGACCTTCATGAGCTTATATTTATCTCGAGTGGAAAATAACTTGATTAAAGAATTGATTTTTGCCTCCGAGCCAATTTCTATTGTTCAAAGATTTTCGTCGTAAGTTACGACAAACAATCCCGTTACGTCGTAACTTATGACGTTAGGAACCAAGGGGTTAATACCGTAAATGGAAATACTCTGCTAGTTCAGACAAAGCCGTTACACGGCATGATCCTTGATGGGGTCCCAGCAAGTAACCAGATACTCGTCCAATGCTGCAAGATTTGCAATCTGAGCATCCGTCAGCTTGATCGTAGCAGCTTCCAAGTTGGATTTCTGACGTTCTTCGTGAACAGACTTGGGCAATGTAATAAACCCATTGGCCAAGCTGAAGGCGACAAGCACTTGAGCTGGAGTGGCACCCACCTCCTTTGCAATCCCAACTAGTGTGGGATTGTCCATTTTCTGAGCTCTGGCCAATGGCGAGTACGCCTCAAGCAAAATGTCCTGCTCTTGGCAATACTTCACCAACGTCGGACGCATGAGCCAAGGATGCAGCTCCACCTGGTTCACTGCAGGCTTCACTTTGGCCGTCTTCAGCAACTTCTCAAGATGAGCTTCGCCAAAGTTGGAGACTTCAATATCTTTCAGAATCCCTTGTCCATGTAGTTCCTCAAGTGCACGCCAACTTTCATCGCGCGTAGCAACGTCGCCCGGGGCATGGAGTAGATACAGACCTTCGTCCTATCGACACGGCAAAACTGTCCTTGATCTACCATATAAATGCATGCAGATCTTGGAGAGAAATAGATAAACATTTTGCACAAGTATCTAGCCTCTTGAAGTACAGTACCGGTAACATTACTGTATAACCATTTGCATCATTCAACACATTAAAAGGGTTGAGCTACAGTACCACATCGTTTTCTTTATGAGACCAGAAAAATTGCATTGATAAAAGATTAAATTTCGAAAAAGGTTTCATTTAGACAGCATGGTCCTTGATGGGGTCCCAGCCCGTGACCAAGTACTCGTCCAGTGCGACGAGCTTGGCGATCTGCGCAGGTGTCAGCTTGACGTTCGCAGCTTCCAAATTGGCCTTCTGGCGCTCAGGGTTCACGGACTTTGGCAACGTGATGAAGTCGTTCGCCAGACTGAAAGCCACTAGCACTTGAGCGGGAGTTGCATCCACCTCGGTGGCGATCTCAAGTAGCGTTGGGTTCGTGAGCTTAATAGCCTTAGCAAAGCGGTGAGTACGCCTCAAGCAGGATGTCGTGCTCCTTGCAATATTTCACCAACGTGGGACGCATGAGCCCGGATGCAGCTCCACCTGGTTCACTGCGGGCTTCACTTTGGCAGTTTTCAAGAGTTTTTCGAGATGAGCTTCACCAAAGTTGGACACGCCAATGTCCTTTAGAACTCCCTGTTCATGCAGCTCCTTAAGTGCACGCCAAGTCTCTTCGCGTGTCGCTGCGTCGCCTGGGGCGTGAAGTAGATACAGGTCGATGTATCCGAGCCCGAGCTTCTCGTTACTGGCCCTCGTGGTCTCCAGAGCCTTTTCATATCCCCAATTCAGTATGAATAGCTTGCTGGTGACAAAGATCTCCTCACGAGGGATACCCGAGTCCTTAACGGCACGGCCGACATCGGCTTCGTTCTCATAGTATTGCGCAGTGTCGATGTGGCGGTATCCTAACTTAAGAGCCGAGAGCACGGCGTTGTAAGTTTCGGCACCGGGTTCGGACTGGTACACGCTGTGAGATGCTATCCTGCTACTGTGAGATGCTACTTGCTACGGTCTGCCAGTGTCCAGTGCCAGACGTCATTGCCACAGCCCAAGACACTGGCAATACCAGTACTACCGATCCAACCTACAATCCTACGCGTGTCTATGCATGTACTGCATCCCGGCGTACCGGTCTGCAACGCGCTCACGTGCGAGCGGCGTGCGGAAGATACCAAGGACTGTATGAAGGACGACATTGGTGGCGGTGAGCAGCTGCAACTGCGTTGCAGGTGATGGTGAACTACTTAGCTTTCTATAGACTATCTTAGACTGAGTATGTGCTAATCTAACTTTGCGGAACATGGAGGTTCAGGTGCTGGCAGCTCTCACTCTCACAACTGCTTTTGCTGTGCTGCGTGCACAACGAGTGAGAGACAGCAAGCACCAGAACTCCGTGGTCCTGTCGTGGTACTTTGCCCGGCACTCACGTGTCTTACATTCTATTCCTACTTGCTCTACACCTACTGCCCTACAAGTCTGTGCTTATGGCACCTACGTTACGTAGTGATAGAAGGTCGGAGAGCCCGGTGACGCGCCATGCGTCATCTCAGGTTATGAGCCCAATCAGGGCGCAGCGATCGACTGACGTGGACTCTGGTGTTGAAAACACACAAGAAGAAGTTTTGACGAATCAAGGAGAAGATTCCCCGGGATTGGTCGAAAGACTGAATGGCCCGGATGATGCGACATTATCGCAATCTGATGCTGAGCGACTAATTCGCTCATTGGTCGGAATTACTGGTGGGCGACCGTTGCTTCGAGTGTTACTCGAAGGTACGCAGAATTCGAACACAATCGAAGAAACGGGATCAGTTGAAAATCCGCCCCCTCCGCCTCCACCACCGTCGAGCCAAGGATCGGTTGGCAGTGGACGAAGCTACACGAGCCGAGGAGAGAGCAGCCTGGACAACATGAACCCCGGTGGTCGGTACGACGACAAGGAGCTGTCCGACCACACCAAGGCGTTGCGCAACTCCGCAAGCATTGTGTTGCCTAAGCTTCACAAGAAAGAAGACTACAAAGCGTGGCGAAGCGAGGTGCCGTTGCACTTCGAGACGCGCTCGCTAGGCGACATTACGTATGGAGGAGAGCGATATGACGAAGAGGAAGGTCACGTCGCCCTAAGTATCATGAGTGGTATGCGACGCGAAAGAACAAGGCGTTCTCCGCGTTGGCCCTATCTCTATCTGTGGACTTACGCATTACGTTCAAGATTGATGAGATAAGAGACAACATGGATGCGGCAGCAATGCTGTATTCAACGATTACAAAACACTTTGAGGCCTGAGACGGCATCAACCCTGACTACTTGCTACAGGACTTGGTGACTCGCCGATTACAACCGAACGAGTCCGTTACTGCGTACGTGGAGGTCATCGGACGAAATATGACACTCCTGCGTCAAGGAAATGGTGAATTTGAAGAATGGCAACATGCAAGCCTACTTCTATCAAACTGCGTGTTGGTATTTCGAGATCTCGCGCGTGAACACGCAGACTGGATCAACCAGCACGACCGACGTGGCCTAAAGCTGTCCGAGGCATTGCAGCGCCTGCGTTCTGCTGAACATCAGCGTGATCAGCTGCAACAGCAGACGAACCGGCCTACAACGCGGACGATGCAAGTCGTGCAGGTTGGTACTGGCCAAGGACAAGGACGAGGACAAGGTCAAGGCTACGGACATGGACACAACAGTGGAAGTGGACGTGAGTCTGGAAAGAAACGTGGGAAGAACCAGCGCAAGAAGGCAAAGGTTGCAGCTGAGAAGAAGCAGCACACAGCCTGCGCTAACTGCAATGGAGATGGTCACTGGTATGCAGAATGCACTGCGCAGACTGGCATGCAACTGAGACCAGACCTGGTCAAGAGACTTAAGAACAAGTTGAAGTACAAGAAGTCGCCAGCTTCCCTCATCAACTCGGTGAGACGAGTCGAAGTTGCCCAGTCTGACAGTGAGCAACGAGCCCTATTCTCGGGTCTCTCGTTGTGTGCGACGACACGACTGGCGAATAGCGATGGAAACAACGATGGTGTGGCGACGGCTGCACACATGTCTCCCGTGTATTCGGTGACAACACCTGCGAGCAGTGAGGCTGAAGATGAGAATCTGGCTGAAGAGGTGAAGACGTCGGCAGTCGGACTCGAGTCCAAGTGTACACCTGCAGTACACCCGAACGTGCCAACGACACCGCAACAACTGCAACTGAAAGTTCCTGCTAACCATATGCAAGGTAGAGAACAAGAACAAAAGGATGGACAAGTGCATACAGGACACCAAGAGGTGCAATTTGCTGTACCAGCGGCGATATAAAGCCAGTGGGAGAGTGGCCAATCGCTTGGTCCACCTCCTGCTTTGGGAACTGCACTATATTATCTGTGTCAAGGACTGATGCAGAGCTCGCAAGGACCTGGATCTGAGCTATGGTACACCAAAGGTGGACCACCAGTGGGTTCACCCTGTGCCCGGGGATGTATCATTGTGGACCTAATGTTTAGCGACGCGGACGCCAAGGACCCGAGCAAGATTACCGGCGAGGATATCAGTCCAACATGAGTCCTTATGAGCTAGGACGCAGTGGATTTATACCAGGACGTGCTGACTCACTACGACTACAAGGATGGAACTACTCACCTCCGCGGAACTTTCAAAGAGGAAGATCACCGCAACGTGGAAGGAGCCGCTCACCTCCGCGGAACTTCCAAAGAGGAAGATCACCGCAACGTGGAAGGAGCCGCTCTCCTCCGCGGAACTTCCAAAGAGGAAGATTACCGCAACGCGGAAGGAGCCGCTCACCTCCTCGGGACTTCCAACGAGGAAGGTCGCCGCAACGTAGATGGAGTCATTCACCGCCCCGAAACCTGCAACAAGGAAGACCACCGCAGTCTGGAAGAAGTCGTTCACCGAGAGGAGATCACTGCAGCGTGGGCGTTCGCCATTGCGTTGGCATTCGCCACCTCGTGGTCGTAATTGGTCTGCTCGTCGTGAGCCACGAGTGAACAACCAGCCGCCAAGTCATTACGGACCCCAGCCGCAAGAGCCGTGGCGTAGTGGACCATCACCCGCGCGTGGACCACTACTGAATGATTGCATTCGTCGAAATGATCTTCAACGTCGGAACTTGTCGCCAAGTCGTCGTGGAAACTCGCCTAGACACTGCAAAAACCGTGGGAATGTTGGTATCGGTGGAATTCGACAGGTGAATGCGATTGGTCGAAACCAAGGAAAGCAGTCTGATGACTCAGATTGGGTGGAGTGGATTTTGGACTCTGGCTCTCAGGCGAATGTCTGTGGAGACTTGTCTCTATTTACTACCATTCGAGAAGATCGCACCAGTCGGCTTGACTTTGCCAACGGAACATCGGAACATGCAACTATGTGTGGTTCTGTCTTGCTACGCATTGTAAACCAAACAACTGGTGAACAAGAAGATCGCCTCCTTGAGGACGTGGTCTACACTCCTAATGCAAAGGTGAACATTATCAGCCTCGGTCGCTTGCAGACGGCTGGGAAGTACAAGCTGCTGTGCTCAGATGATCAGCAGTCAGCTTGGCTCTCAAAGCCAGGTACTTCGTTGAAGTTTATCATGCGAGACAATATCTACCGATTGAAGGCAGAGCGAGTGTCAGGAGTGATGGTGATGGCAGCACGCAAACAAGACACGGACAGCAGAAAGACGATGGAGTTACTGCACCAACGGTTCGCTCACTTGAGTATGGACACTGTGAGAGAGCTGTCGAGTAAGCTCGATGTCGGAGTAAAGATTAATGCACAAGGTCTGAGCTCCTACGAGTGTGTTGCGTGTGCTGCTAGCAAGACTAAACGGATGACTTATGCAAGGATTCCTGAACGGAAGTCTGAACCGCTCGAGATGTTGATGATGGACATATGCACGATGAATGAACCGACGGAAGGTGGTGCAACTATGTTCCTGCTAATCATTGATGAAGCTACTCGCTTCAAGTGGGCGTATCTACTCGAACGAAAGAGTGCGGCTACACTGTACGTCAAGATTTTGCTACATCAACTTCGGACTCAGTTTCCCAAGCTCACTGTTCGGAGACTGCACTCTGATCAGGGTGGTGAATTCACCAGTAATGCGCTGAGAGATTACTGCAATGAGCATGGGATTGTGCAGCAGCTCACTAATGCTTACTCTCCTCAGGAGAATGATGTGGTGGAGCGAGCGAATGGCACTGTACTGCCCTCGCACCCGTGCTATGCTAACCGCTACACATCTTCCTAACATGCTATGGGGAGAAGCACTTCTACACATTGTTACGACACTGAATTGGCTACCAACTAAACCGCTAGGACTGGTCTCGCCATACAAGAAGCTGTACAGTGTGACACCCGATGTGGATGAGCTTCGGACTTGGGGATGTGTGGCACACGTGCGTGTCCCTCCTGCGTCCAGACAAAAGAAGGAAAAATTGGAGCCGAGAGCACGAATATCTCTATTACTTGGTTATAGTCATGATACCAAGGGCTACAAATTTCTGGATTTGAAGACAGCTCAAGTCGTGACTGCACGTGGACGAAACACGCGATTTCACGAGGAGTTAACAAGTGACGGCACTTACGTAAAGCAACTCCTAGAGAAAGCATATCACGATGGTGATCATCAGCTGCCCGATAGTGTTCCGGTGGCACGCATCAAGACTAGTATGGAGACGTACCTGCCTGGTTGGAGCTCTGAGTCTTCGAATGTGACGAAGCAGCTCGAGATGGTGCCGATAGCTGATGACCTGCAGGACAAAGAGCATGAGTCCAGTGGGAGTGCGAAAGACGACTTACCTAAGGAGCAGAGAGTAGAGTCGCCAGCCGGTGCAGATGCACCAGTTGAAGTTGCTGCGAACGATG